GAGAGAGAGCGAGAGAGAGAGAGAGAGAAAGAGCAAGAGAGAGAGAGAGAGAGAGAGAGAGAGAGAGAGAGAGAGAGAGAGAGAGAGAGAGAGAGAGGAGAGCAGGGTCTAGGCAGGTCACGGGAGTGAGGAGGCTCAGAGCACTTTTTTATACGATCATGATCGCGTATCATGCATGTAGCTGGAGATATTTAGTTAGAGCCGTATTACATAACTACGCATGCGCGTTTTCATTCAAAATAAAACGTTTCCGCATCACACGCCACTCTACTCATGATCTTTTGTACTGCCTCATTAAACATGCTACATTCAACATAATCCAGGCTCATGATCATCCGACGTCTAGATAAGCACAAGGTATCCATCTCTCCTGAAGACCTGCACAGCGTATCCATCATGCACGCGTGTAAATAACACACGAACCATCCATCTGCCATGAATATATAGGTGCAGCAGGTACCTATCTCGAATGCAGAGATATGCACAAGATATCCATCTTGCACGCCGATAGGCACAAGGTATCCATCTTCCATGCATATGCATATATACACAAGGTATCCATCATCTTGCGCGGTGATATTCACAATGTATCCATCTTCTGTGCAGATAACCACAATGTATCCATCTTCTGTGCAGATCTCCACAGTGTATCCATCTTACCAGCATATATGCACCAGGTATCCATATTACATGCAGATACGCACCAGATATCTATCTTGCACTCGGTATCTGCACACAGTAAGCGTCACAGGATCGTTGGCGTCATTCGTAGACGGTAGCTTGTTGCAGTTGGAAGATGCTCGCTACGCGTCTACCTCAAACACGACGAGAGCCGAGGTATCCTTTATAGGAGAGTAATTTCTCACACGCCAGCCGGTGGCTAGTACAACCGTGACCGTTTTTGACGAAAAGTTCCCAAACTTATTGATTCCGCTTCTACAGCCGTGTGCACACACAGATACGCACGCACGCGCGCACGCACGCACACACACGATAGAGCTGTATTATGATGAAACGTACAGCGCACGGTTGACGCAGAAGATTCCATACTCGAATAGGCATATGTATATGACTATATACACACA